GAAAACCTCCAATGTTTAGTCCGACTGCAAGGGGAATTTAAAACACAAATGTCATAACAGTAGTTTAAAATACGTTACTAATTGCTTTATGTGTTATTTAAACGCGCATTTGAGCTATGTCTATTTTTCAAACGCGCTTTTTTTGCCGCGTCAATTTTTTATACACGGATTCAAATTTTTTACGAGTTAGAAATACACATTTATAATCAATCCAAAAAAGTGTTGGAATGAGTTAATAGGTCTGAAATACTAAAACTTTACTTACATTAGTTGTTTTTTTTTTCTTTTAGAAAAATTGCTCTTATGTTAAATAAAAGTAACAATTTAGTAATTATTTAATATGACAGGCACTTACTTCAAAGTTAAAACTAATTTTCAATTTACTAAGCACAGTAGAAAATTAAAACGCTTAAGAAACGAGAGCAGCTCAAAATCTTGTACAATATTTTAATTTATTATTATTTTTTTTAATTTGTTTTTTTTTTTGTTTTTTGAACAAAAGATATATTAAGCTCAAAGCTAAAATGTATCTGTAGAAGTGAAACTTAAACCGAATTCAGATTTTCCGTATTTTTTTCATTAAAAACCACTTTCTTTTTCTTCTTTCTCATACAAAAACCAATGAAATCAGAAAACTGAAATATTGTTTTTCTAGGTTCGAACATTTTTTTCTAAAACAAATTCAACTGATAGCAAATTTTGATTAAATCCAATTCGTTTCAAGCAGAAAAAAACATTTGTGTATCGCTGGCGTTTGAAAATCAATTAAATGGTTTAAAAAAATATTAGAACTTTGAAATATAATAACATGAACATACAATAAGTTATTACTCACTAAAATATTTAATTTTGATAATTAACGAAATCTGGGGATCAACAATTTTCCTTAGTTCACATTAGTGGGATCTTATTAGAGAATAGTAATTATAATAAGAGAAGTAGAAAGACATGAGTAGAAAGTTCAGACTAAATAAATACAATTTAGTAAATAAATATCTTAAAAATTTACTTGATTTTTATAATTTGATTTCTAACATACAAAATTGACACCTGTATGCAAAATTGACATCTGTAATTTAATACTACATAATTTAAAATTGTTTAACCTTTTTTATTGAAGAAATTCTAAAGCGAAATTCAGCTTTTTTGGTTCTCAATAACTTGATTTTAGTCTATTTAGGCATAGTCTAGGAAAAAAAAAGATACCAGAATTTAATTCTTTTTAATTCTTTTTCCCAAGTGTGGAATTCTGTATTCTATAGTATTTGTGGGAAAGCACTACGGATATGTGTTAAATAAAAAGAAAAATAATACTTAAAATTGCAACTTTTCTATGCTTTATTCGCTATTTAGAAAAAAACTTTTTGCAACATTATGCTCTAGTATTAACCCATCGATATCTTGTATAGTTTTAAAAACCCAAATTTGATTATTTAATTAATCTCTGTTTCCAGCTTCTTTAAAGTTTTTTCCTATTTGTTAAGAGATTTGACGTATTTACTTACTCATTAAAAGTTTTATTGATTTTTCTCTCAAAGAGTATGAGAGAATTTTTTTTTTAAAATAAAGACATTTTTTTTTCAATAATTTTAATTTTGGAATATAATTTAATAGCGAGCTAAAAAAAACACGAAAAAAAAAAGAATTATATGGAAGAGTGTTGTTACTTGGACCTCATGTATGAACCACGGATAAATTTAAATATTTGTGCTACTCAGTGAAGCAGTTCTCTATTCACTGTAAAAAATATCTGGGTTTTTTTCCGGACCTTTTTCGTATCATTGATGATTTAAATCTGTTTTATTGACGAAACGGTTTGTCACTGTTTTTCACCCCTATCATTAACGGATAAAAATCGCTAGCTTAAATTCTAGTTTTTTTCATGCAGTTTTGCGTTCCTTACAATAACTTAAACCTTTTCTCAAATCATTTTGAAATTATTTTCCGTAATTGCACTTTCTTTTCAGAAACTAGTCTATGGTTTTGTATATATGGTTTTTACTAGTCTATGGTCTATATAAATAAACTGTGATTCATCTTTATTGTAAAATCGACGCTCTATCTGATTTTTATTTTTCTTTGGATATAATTGTTTGATAAGTTAAGTTGCGAATGGCAACAAAGTAGGCTAAACATCTTTACGCTGAAATATTATGAAATTGACACTCTATCTGATTTTTATCTTTTTTTGGACATAATTGTTTGATAAGTTGCGAAAGGCAAAAAAGTAGGCTAAACGTCTTTACACTGAAATACTGTAAAATTGACACTCTAGCTGATTTTTATCTTTCTTTGGATATAATTGTTTGGTAAACTCCTGGATGCCCCTTGGCGGGGGCGGGACAACGCTCAGTAATAAAATAATTGTTTGGTAAGTTAAGTTGCGAATGGCAACAAAGTAGGCTAAACGTCTTTACACTGAAATATTGTAAAATTGACACTCTATCTGATTGTTATCTTTTTTTGAATATAATTGTTTGGTACGTTAAAATTCGAATGGCAACAAAGTATGCTAAACGTTTTTACACTGAAATATGTTTTTAATATAGACTTTTAAGGAAAAAATAGTTTTAGACTTTTATTCACAATAGTGGAACCGTAGTGGCTTAGAGGACAGAAAGCTCGCCACCCATGAGATGATCGAGGTTCGAATCCCAGCGAGGACTAATCGAAACAAACTTTGCTTCCGGTCTGCACTGACCACAGTGTCGGCATAAAATATCCATGGCTAGTGCGAGTACAAATTTCTTCTTAATTATCACAGTAAAAACTTGTTTCTGTAGCGCAAAAAAAAGTTCTGACTGTGGATTTTCTCTGCATTTTTATGGAAAAAGCTTATTCTTGTATTGTAAAAAACCATTGCGAATAGGGATTTACGGAAACTTGTTCTTGTGTGGAAAAAAATCCGCTTACGGATTTCATTGAAAAATCAGGTTTTCTTCGGGTTTTCCAGAAATATTTTAAAATTTTAATTCGAGAGTCCTTAATCAGATTGCAAAATTTACTAAACTGAAAGTTCAATATTTTATAAACTATTTATAACTTGCTTCGTTGCAATGTAACCATTTTTTGGAAGGCTTTAGATAGCTTATTTAGAGTGAAAGTTCAAAAAATATTTTGTTGAATTAAAATAGGTATAGTTTAGAAGTCAGTTTAGAAGTTAATTTTGAAATAAAGCTTAAACTTAAATCCTTTTGCTCGGTTACCATTGCAATTTAATTGGCAATTCTGTTTTTCAAACCCAATCACCCACGTAGGAAAAAAGGGAATTTTTTTAAGTGAGCCCACTCGAAAAAAACGAGGAAGGATTTTGAGGACTGGGAGCCCACTTTCACGAGACTAGCTTTCCAAGGACCCTAAATACTTGATATATACCCTATTTAATGTTTAAAATTTTGATTTTACACTTTTTAAATATTATGCCTTGTTAATTCATTAGACTTTTACACTAGTCTAACTTTTGTCCAAAAATTAAATTTTCTTACTATGAAAAAGTACTTACAATGTATTCCTTTTTAATGACAATTTTAAGGCTGAGTTTACTGCTGTCTGTACTATTTACATCATGCGTTAAAGTGCAATTCATAAAGTTAATTGTAAGACTTACTAAATTTTACATTATTTTTAAGTATGTAATTTACCATTTAACGATTATTAAATTAAATAAAAAGCCAATAAATAATTATAATTTTTTACACGGGTTATCGTTACATAAACGATCTTCACAGTTACGTTCATCTTTTTTTGATTCTCTTAAATAGTTCCATGAGATATGCCAAAATATGTAAAAAGTGATAAAAACGCGAAGTGTTAGCCGTTTTTATTGCAAAACTATTGTGCTAGGTTGATATTTTTAGGGTCAAGAATATTAATTCGACGAAAAAGAGTATGCACATTTACAGATAATCTTTTGTGCCCGATTTTGTAGCTTAGTATGTCCTCTGCGCAAATTATTTAGCACATTTAAGATTAGACCATCAAGTTTGAATCTTAGTAAGTGAAAATACAATCACTAGATTAAAAGTCATTAAGGTGCTCTGTTTTATTTTGTATACAGTACACTACGTATTAACTCGAGATATTATCAACTTAACATACTATTTAATAAAAATCTCACATTAGAAAATTAACTACCAGTAAGAATTTTCAGTTGAGTCTACCGTATACTAATGACATAACTATTGGAAACCTCTGTATAGTGCCAAAGGTGAACGATATTACATACCGTCATTCGGGGCTACTTTGTGCAGCGGGGGCTACTTTGTGCAAATTGGAATTTGGCATTTCTCAAGTGCTACTATTCAAAGTGAATGGCAGATGGACACGTGTGACGTCAGTTCGTGAATAATCNCTGTTGACTATGTCTGGCGCAAAAAAATAAATAAAGATAAAAACTACGGACGGGTGGTACTTAAGGAGATGTTCATCCGAAAAAAATAGTCGCCCAGGAACAAGATATTAAAACATACAAAAAAATTATTCCTATATCAAAACACATTTTTCAAAATAATTTTTTCTCAGAAGTCATTGCTTTAATAAAAATCATGGGACAAAATGGAAAGACTGTTATCAAAATTTCAAACCATGATTTTATGAACACTATGAAATAGAATAAAAGTTTTCTGATGTTTTTATAACTTAAACTAATCTTTTAGTTGGTAAATCAACGTAAACAAGATTTGAAAAAGTAAAATATCTGAAACTTAAAATTTAATAAACTAGCTATGAAATGTAAACATTTCTGTTTTAACCTGCTCTATGTTCTAATTACAGTTACCAAAAATAGAAACGGTAATCAGAAATTTGCTTCGAGAAATCGATTTTTTATTTTTCAGCTACTTCATACAAAACAATTGACTCGAAACATTTTTTCCGAGTAGACATTCTTTCAAACCATTTTAAAACGGAAATATCTTATTAACTTTAAGAAACGAAATATTACGTTTATGTTCTCCCATCAGCTGCTCTTTAACTTATTTTTGATGATTGATTTAACTTACCAAGATCGCAGCTTTTTTTATCAGTCAAAAGCTTGTAGCCTTCTAAACAAATACATTCATAGGATCCTAATGTATTCTCACAAAGTTGATCACAGCCTCCATTATTAGCTAGGCATTCGTCGTTATCTGAAAACAAAAATAATTTGAGTAATTATACATCAAATTTATGCATTTTAACTTTTGATTTTACCTCATTTTAAGGAAAGAGGGGCATTAAAGTAAAAAGCGAAGAAAAAAGAAAACTAAGTAGTTATTATGGTACATAGCTTGATGCATATACAGTGTGCACAAAAAATATACACCTTAATTACTTTTGATTTAATAGTTGTATTTTCACACACTAAGATTCAATCTAAGACGATATTTTAAGTTATGTAATCGGATACAAAAACGTACTTTTTCTGAAAAAAACACACTTTTTTGGACAAATTTGGACTCATAATAAACAGAATTATAAAATATTTGCACACCATTAGAAAACTTAGTAATCTAAGAACAATTTTAAGGGGAACGATTATAGTTCTGCATATTTTTAAAAAAATTAATTTACTAATGATTTAAAAAATTTGAATTGTATACGAACTTTTACAAAAATTTAATCTACCCATTTTTAAATGATAAAATCCAAATTTTGAAAGTTATAAGTCGAATAGATTTTCAAAATTGAAAGTTCAAAAATACGACTTTTTTAGGATTGTAAAAACCACTCTTCTGCCTTTACTATTGGGACGATATTTTTCATTAAACGAAAAACTCCCTTATTTTGAGGGTTAAAAATTCAAATCCGCCGAAAAATATAAATGTGCAACAATGAATTTGCTTGTTTCAGAATTGAGCCTATTAAGATTTGGTCCCAGCAAGTGTAAATACAATCATTATATTAAAGTTTATTGACAATACTTTTTTTGCCAGGATAGCCAAGTTCAGAAAAATTATGAAAACCAGTAAAAAAAGATCAAGAATGCAAAATAACGAGCATAAATATTTTTAAACTCAATATCTGCATTATAAATGAGTAACTGAATTTCTAATATTGATGTGAAATTAAAGAATATAAAATTTACAATAAGTTCATGAAACATTAGTTCCTAATTTTACTTTTTTTTCTCTAGACTATGGCTACACTGCATAGTGCTGTCATTAATATTATCAACATAATTAACATAATTATTCATATTTAAAGGAAAAATATTCTTTGCATTCCCTTTCAAAACTGAAAAAATATGCTAGAAAAAGTTTCTAATTTTAATATATTTTAATAAAATATTAATCAACATATTTTCTATTTTTAGTCGTTTGGAGTAACCCTGTAACAAGAATCAAGCTTTGTTTCATTTATTGGGAGTCAAATTTTATTTTTATCAAATTTTGCAATTGTTTAATTTTAATGAATTTTACTTTACACGAATCATTAAATGAACATAAGATTATATCTAAAAAATCCCGATCAGTAGTTTTGTTAGAGTTATTTTTTTGCATGAAGTTCGTGATAATGTGAATGATTTCTTTTCTTTATACTACGCTGATTTTCAAAAACCTATTTTGGTTTTAGGTCTGTTTCTCCTGCTGTGGTACTTATTTGAACACTGTTTTTAGAATTTGAAGTCGCTGTTTTTCAAATATTTTCAATAACATTTTCATTTAAAAAATTTTAAATTTTAATTTCTAATTCTTAAAAAAAACATATATAATCAAAAACTGATGGGTAAAAAAAAGAGTTCTGAAAATGGATTTAATAATTTATTAGAAAAATTACTAATTGCCATTTTTTATGAGTAAAAATTTATTCTACTCAGTTTAATTATTGATATTTATTAAGCCGCAGAAATCATTATGTGAATTAAAAACGTTTATCATACTTTAATATTTCGGGAAGTTTTTTAAAATCTTAACTTTCTTAAAAAATTGAGATTTTAGTTTAAAATAAAAATTTGCCACATTATTATATCTAGTCTACAATTTCAAGTTTCCAATTTTTTAAATAAAAAATAAAAAAATTGAACAGATTATAAGACTTTTCTCTAAACCATTGCATTGCTTTCACTTATTCCCAAAAGTGAGTATTCTTAACTTTTTTGGGAATAAACTAATTCTAAATAATTATAATTTATTTAGTCATCTGAGTTTATTATTATTATTTTCTTTTAACTATGACAGCTGAGTCGTTATAGCTCAGGGGATAGAGCACTCGCCTCAAAATTGAGGTAACCCAGGTTCGAATCCCAACAATGACTGGTTCATACGAATTCTGCTTCAGGCTCTCATCGACCATACTACTGACGTAAGATATCCTCAGTAGTAGACGGATCATGGGTCTTGCCGTCGGGCTAACTGAGGGAGGTTTTCGTGCTCTTCCTTTCTTGGGATGTAAAAAAATTCCGTGTAGCACAAATGCGGGTAAGTTCCACCAAAAAGTATTTCACGAAGGAAATTTGTTTCCAATACTTGATACAGGGGTTCCCTTGTCTTCTGGATTGGGTTCAAAATTACACGGCAACAGAATTGAATATTGGTAGTCTGAAGCTCATAATTTGGTTGGCTGTTCAACGATGACTATAAAAGAAAACTGATAACTTATTGACCCAGGAGATAGAGCACTCGCCTCTCAATGAGGTGCCTGGGTTTGAATCCCAACGGTGGCTGGCTGAAGCAAATTTGTTTCGCATTCGGTTTACACCGACTAACATATTCTCAGTTGTACACGGATCATTAGTTAGATTCCCCTTACTGTCAGGCTAACCATGAGAGGTTTTTGTAATTTTTCTATCCGTGCAACGCAAATACGGGTTAGTTCCATTGAAAAAACTTCTACAAAGGCTAATTTTTCCCTATACTTGATCTAGGAGTGTCTTTGTCTTCTGAATTTTGTTCAAAATTACAAGGCTGAGGAGTTGGACATTGATAGCCGCAAACTAACAATTTGGTCGGCTGGTCAACGATGGTCATAAAAAAAATAAAACTATGACAGCTGCAAATATTTCAAGGATTTTATAATAAAACCTGTTAAATGTATCTTTGAAATAAAATATTAATCGAAAAATTTAGAAGTTATCACAGGACTTTAAGATGTTTAAATTGAAAACACGTAAACCATTTCAAAAAGGAATTTGAACCGTTAATCATATTATCTTTCAGTCAAAATGAAAGTTCCTTATAAATTATGATGGTAGACACTCTTCTCTGCTAAGATGGAATCCAAATTATCAACGGAATGTTTATTTCACATATACGGACAGCAGGGAATCTGATTACCTTGTCTTTTCGCGGAATTCCATCAAAGCGCTCTGAATTTCGATCCTAGGACGAAATCTTCTCTACTTCCATAGATTCAGTAGAAATGCATTTGAGTCTATGACAAATCAATATACTCCAATAGCCTTCTATTAGGCGTATGGTTCCGGCTCTCGAAGCTAATGAAGTCTAGTAAGATGATGATTGAATAATACAATGGAATTTACGGAAACGTGATTAAGTTTGGATTATAAAGGCCGTTAGAGAAAGCGAGAAAGTTGGATAAATTATTGAGGAAGGAGTTATACGTCACTTTTATTTTCTTAATCAAAGCTTTACGAGTTAAGAATTTTTCTAAGAAATATTTCGAGAAACTTATTGGAGAAAAATCCTGTTAGGAAGGATATTAAAATATGATAGCTTAAAAATGGGAATAAAGTTATAAAATAAGTAAAGTAATAATAATATTTATTTTTCAAAATAATGTTTCGTTAATTGTTTAAAAGAAATTTAGTGTTGAAAGGCAATTTACCGCCTTCTTATCATCGTGGAATATTCAATGCAATTTAAATTTTTTCTAACTTTTGATAAAATTTTGATCTCAGTCCTTGACCTTTTGACCACTTGAGGACGATTTTATATTTCCTGCGGCGGTAATTTTGTCAATCTCAAGTATTTCATTTAATTGCCAATAATTATTAATACAATCGCAGTGCATGTAAAAAAAATCTGGCTATAAGCTTAATAAATATATTTATGTTTCAAAATAATAGTTTAAACAGTATTATGTTAAATTTAAAGAAAAGTAAGGAACATCTGGGGTGGAAAGGAATTTACCACTGTCTTATCTTTGTGTGATATTTGACTCAATTTAAATTCTTATCCCGGATTCTTCGATAAATTCCGATAACTTTCGATAAAATTCTGATCTCTCACGGACGATTTTAAATTTTTTTCATCATAATTTTATCTATTTTAAATAAAAAAAATCTGGATGTGAGTTTAATAAAAATATTTATTTTTCAAAATAATCTTTCAAATACTATTACATTAAATATAATAAAATAAAGGATCATTTGGTGTTGAAAGGAAATTTAACGCCATCTTATTTTCATGTCAAATTCGATGTAACTTAAATTTTTATCTTTGAATTTTCTTCGAAATTTTGAAAAAAACTGCAAAACTGCAACCATGCAAGAAGTAGAGAACTATTTTAAATTTCCTGCGGCATAATTTTGTCAACCCCGAGGGAGTTTTATATAGTTGCCAATGTCCATCTATTGAAACTACTATTGCAGTGTAAGCATAAAAAATCGATTTTGCGGGCAGGTATTTAAGAAATGAATTATAGCGCACCAAGATATTAAAAATTTAATTTTTATAAAATGATTTAAAGCAAAATTTATGCAATTATAACATAAAGGGATAGTGGGCCTTTAAAACAAACTTTTTTTTAAATTTAATACCCGAAATCCAATTCTTCGTGTGCCTACCATACATATATAAGATACCTAATGAACCTAGTTTTATAAAGATATTGAAAATTCACAGAAATGTTAGTTAAAACACTTTAATTAAGTTTAATTAAAATGCTCTCTACAATATTAATTTGTTTTAAAATTTTTGCTCCAAATACGATTTAACTCAAAGCTTATTTGAACTATAATGCTGAATAAACTTTTTTTGACTATGTCAACACAACTGGAAGTTTATAAAAAATAATACACTGATAAGGAGAAAAACTACCCTCAGTCACTTGAAAATAGTTTTTCAGTGCCGATTAAAAAATTACTATTATACTTGTAGTTGTTTGAATTTTGTTAAAGTTTTTTCTGGCACTGTAATACTATTTTCAAGTGATAGAGTGCGTTTTTCTCGTTATTTGTTCAAAACAATCACGCGTTTCCTTAAACCTGTATTTAACTTTTAAATCTGCTTTATAATCATTCCTTAAAAATAAATATTTTAAGTAAACGGGTGCATTCATATGTTTACCGCTAAAAATAATAAATAAATAAATAAAAATCTGTAGCACATCTAAAATTAAGTAGCAAGATTTCGAAATAACTCTACGGCGGCTGATGGTAATTCAAAACAAACTATTTTAATGTGGAATATAAGATAAAAATATTGAAATATGTCATAAAAAGGGACATAAAGTTAGTAGTTGTGACCTCCTGTCACATAAATGGACTATCTTTCATTAAAAGATAGACGGTTCCATTTTCATTAGTCAAGTTAGTTCGGCAAAAAGCCAAATATTTCTTTAAATAAAATCTGGCAGCATTTTTTGTGAAGTATCATTGCTGTATTATTTATATATTTAATATTTCTTTATTTTAGTTAATTAAAGTTGAATAGAACTACTATTTTATTTCTTCTTTAAGCTGTAGTTGATAAATAAAATAACAATAAATTGTATAATATAATGTAAATTACATAAAACCTTGCGTAAAATTCAGTGTCTTTCTAAAAATATATTTTAGTGCTTCGCTCCATCATTTAAACTAATCAATTAATTTTTCTTTAGCAAAAGTTTTATATTTATTTTATGACATTTTTATAATTATTAAAGACAATAAAATCTATTAGATACATTTCTTACTTACCCTTATGAAATCAGTACATTAGAAAGGGTATTTTTGTAAACGAACAAAAAGAAATAATCATTTGAATAAATGTATAATAAAAAATCTAGTATTTTTTTAAAGTTTCTTCATAAATGGTATTTTTATGATTTTATGAGAAATATTTAGAGTGCAAAATGACGAAAAGTCATTTATTTTGCGAAACACACGCACGTAATAGTCTCTTATTAATTACACCGGTATTGCTCAAATAATTTTACACAAGTTAAACTTAATTATCTTTTTGATTAATTTATTCCTGAAAAAATAATTTTTCTTCATAAACTATTTCTCGAAAGTTTAATGTAGCATGAACTGAAGTCTGTTAAAATTCTTCGAAACCGTATAAAAATAATGTTATAATAATGAGTAATTAATAAAACAACACCATTTAGCGCTTCAGTTTTTTTTTAGACTCTTAAGCCGTTTAATGCGTTTTTAGACGATGTATTCTTTCAAAACCTGCAGTTAATGGATTTTCAATGTTCTTTTAAGTGAATGATTCATTTTACATTAATTGCGATGAAGAAAAATTTACGCAGAAACAAGTTACAGATAAGTTAGATTTCGCGACGTTAGGAATTTAAAAATTTAAGGATAAATAATAATTAAAAAACCACACATTTGATTTTACAGAAAACTGTTAATAATAGTAAATAAAAATCAAACAATAAAGAGAATTATTATATTTACTTTGTAAGGTAATTTGAAAAGTCTGATGAAAAAAGTTTAGTCGTTTTTTAAATTAAGGATTTGCAAGAATTAAGGATCATTTTTACTCGTATATTTTTTTGTATAGTAAAAGTTCCTTGGTTAAAAGAATAATGTCGGAAATGACTTGATTTCATTGGAAATATATTAATTAACATGTTAATACAAAACCAGGAGTATCTTTTTTAACCTTTTTTACTAAGAAACACGAAAATTCTTTGTGCACCACAAATTATAACAATAAGGTATAAAAACAATTTCAAAAATAAAATATATGAACTTTTTACCGTTTTTGGAAATTTTTTCAAATAATTAAAAAAAACGTAAACATTCACACTATAGTTTGTTTTTCAACACCAAACTTGAATAAGTAGTACACTACAGTTTTACAGTGTACGGAACGACTAAAATTTAGTTGAATTGAATTTCTGGATTTCAATTTAGTAGGTAAATTAAATTTTGTTATTAAGAATTTAAACTGCTATTGGGTCTATTAAACATGACAATGGACAGATATATTTTTAGAAATGTTTTACGTATTTTTTTTTTGTACAAATCTAATAATAGTTTTTTTTTAATAATTCTTCTTCCTCTTTAATATATTCAGCATTCTTTTGCATAACTTTTCAAAAACCAAATTGCCTTACACTAACGTAAACAAAATATTGATTGGGTTGGTTTAAAAGTTTGATTCCACGGGAGTCAGGGTTTTGTAAACCTGAATGTCTAGTATAGGAGAGCATTGATAATATATTTTGGGAGGGGGAAAATTCTTAATTTAACGAATGAAAATCAATTTTCACTAAACCATGCATGAAATAAGCAATAAACAATTCAGTATTTCTTCTCCAATAATTGAACGAATAAAGGTTTTTACAATTTTCCATTTTCTAAAAGAACGCTAGTCTACAGCAGCACTCATAGAAAAATTTTTAGTTAAATAGCAGTTAATTTGCTAAAAGTGAATTTTTATAGTTCTCTAATGCTTTCATGAAATTTTTTTCAAGCAGATGTTTTTTTTTCTCTTAAAACAATTACAATTTTCCGTTCTCTAAAAGAGCGCTGGTCTGCGGCAGCACTCTTTTAGTCATAGAAACAAAAACGGAAAAAATCATAAAATTCTCCGAGATCCGGAAAATGCTTCATATATAAAATTTTTATTGATTAACCGACTAAAAAGCTCCACTGGGCTAATATTTAATCGTTTACGTAACGAAAACCTAACAAAAATAAAAATAGCTAAATCACCTTATAAAAACGAATGTGATGACTGTTCGAAAATTTACAATAAAATAACTCTAAATTCCATGAACTAAAGACTGAAAAAATTGTAGTTTAAAAGATAATAATAAAGGTGCAAGAATCAAATCAAATAAAAAGCTTGTGACTCTGAGGATTACATAGGCTTAAAATTTGACGTTAGGTATATCGAACACAAGGTCTGAGGAGGCTACATAAAAATTTCAGAAAAATACATAATTGTCTAATTTTTTTGGAAAAAAAAACTCCAATTCCTGAATATTGAAACATTTTTAAAGTTCATAGTAGTCACTGATAACAGCTCCCTTGTTCTAGAATTTCTTTATTTTAACATATGAGGACAACGGCTAAATTAGTAAAATATGGAGAGAAAAAAACAAAACAGAAATTTAAGAAAAAAAAAGACAAAAAAAAAATGGAATAATCTCTAGGTGTCGAATCTTAATAGAGATCTAATTCTTAGGTGAATAACTAATAAAATACTCACCATTGCATGTAATTCCATCTCGATCTAAAGTATAACCTAAACGACAAGCACATGAATAACCCCCAGGGCTATTGTTGCAGTCTTGTTTACACTGGGATAAGCCTTTTTGACACTCATCCACATCTGAAGAAGAAAGGTAGATTCTTTTTTAGGTACTTCTCAAAGGTTAAGATAATGTTAGACAATAAAGTTAACACAATATATAATAATGACAAATAATGTTCACTACAGTTAATCGTGAATTCGATTGATACTTGTCTTATATGCATAAAATATTCACTAATAATGTTAAATTACTTTTCTTTTTTAAAATAATAAGTAGTGAATATTTTATGCACATAAGACAAGTATCAATCGAATTCAAAATTAACCGTAGTAACTGAATGTGTAATTTAAAGTAATCGTATATCCTAAAATTCTATGAAAAAAGTTATGTTATTTTTTCAAAAACGAAAAGTAATTTATCATAACTCGATAACTTTTTTCATAGAATTTTAGGACATACGATTATTTCAAATTACACATTCAGTCACTACAGTTTAATTTTGAATTCGATTGATACTTGTCTTATATGCATAAAATATTCACTACCTATGCAAAATACTTTTCTGTTTAAAAAAATTGACATTTTAACTTAATTCATGGAATTTTAGGACGCCAGATTATTTCAAACTACAGATACAGTTACCAGAATTAATTTTGATTTCGATTGATACTTGTTTTATATTCTTATATGCTAAAAATATTCACTACTTATGCAAAATACTTCTCTACTTAAAAAAATAACACAATAATTTCATTAATAGAATTTAGGACATTAGATTATTTTGAATTGCATATACAGTTACCAGAACTAATTTTGAATTCGATTGATACTTGTCTCATATGCATTAAATATTCACTACTTACGTAAAGTACTTTTCCATTTAAAAAATGAACACTATAACCTTTCTCTTAGAATTTAAAAACAACAGATTAATTTAAACAATAAATTTATGAGAAAAACTATCGGCATTGCGATTGTTTCGAGACTTGGACTATTCGTAATTTCATGTGTAGGAAAATAGAATTTTGTTGAATAAATATTTTAAGAAAATATTCTAAAAATTTTTTAAGAGGATATAAATAATTTTAAAGGACTCATTTAATTTATTTTCAGTAAAATAATAACGCTGGTTTGATCGTTACATCTAGACATGTATCAAAACACTAGATTCCTCTTTTTAGAAATAATTCGCAAAGCAAAATATAACTTATCTGGTGCCGTTATTTATTAACATTTTCAAGTAAATCTACACTGAAAACATTTCCGTATATAGTTGACACCATTTTTAGTGCTGAGGTAAACTAGAATTTTTCATGTTCAATGTAGTCACAACTTTTTAAATTTGCTTTTTCACTTTCATAGTTTTATTTATTTATTTATTAATTTTCTGCTTATTTGTTTACTGACAACTCATATTTTCATGCGCATTCGAATCATTTTGTGGCTTCTTTGAAAAAACAATTCGTTTAAAAAATAAGCACATTTTTAATAATATATTCCCATTAATTTTTCAAACAAGTGTTATTTTGTCAATTTTCTGTAATTTTTTGCACGATAACTATATTTTTATACTTTAAAATGTATTTAGTTTAGCTCAACACCAAAAATGGTGTCAACTATACTCCAAACTATTTTACGGTATACAATTGAAGGTTGTTCTCTTAACGCGTAACAATTCTTTTTAATACTGTCCATATGTCTAAAAATGAAAACATTTTTAGACATATGGACATTATTTAAAAAGGATTGTTACGCCTTCAAATAGCTCGGTTAATGGCGTGAGTGTCCAAAATTCGAATTTTCGTTTAGAAAAAATAAATTGTTTAGGTGAAATTAATTGAAAACTTTTGAAATAATTTATCTCGATTCCTTTCTCAAGAATCTAACATCTCATAAATGAACTGACAGAATAAATTAACTTAGTATCTAACTGTTCATAAATGAAATGATAAAATTATAAATTAACAGCTAACATCTCATAAATGAACTGACAGAATTGTAAATTAACTTAACAACTATTATCATATAAATGAACTGACGGAATTGTAAATTAACTTAACAACTATTATCACAAAAATAAGCTGACAGAATTATAATGAGTTAGATTTAAGCTTAATTTTTTAGACTTTTATCTGTCTCAGGCTCCCACCTCTTAACAATTGCCCTTTTATGATTTAAAATATTCAAGAATAAAAAGTTATTCAAAAATATAAGAATCAATGCTACAATAAAGAGAGCTTTAAAATAACAAAAAATTAATAAATCTTGTGATTGATGATCCGCAGAGATTCTTCCTCGTAAAAGAATAAGTTTACTACTTAGAATATATTTTTTCTCCATAAACATGGAGATTTTTCACGCGTATTATTAAAATAGAATATACATAATCGTATAACAAAGAATATACATTCTTTAAAATAAATTTTTTTTTCGCTAGAGGACAAAAATACCTCATAAAGGGATTTGTTCCGTTTTGAAACTTACCTTTCAAAATATTTTGTAACCCTTGGGAGAAGAAAAAATATTTGCAGTGTAAGATTTTCCTTTATAACATATTAATTTTTATTCTTAAAAGAGGATTAGTTCAAAAAGTGCTTTTTATTTTCAAAAGAATTTTGAGTTTCCTCTTACAAGATTTGCTTAAAATAAAGAACAATTTTATCGTAACATCAAAATATTTGTTTTATACCATTTTTTTTGCAATTTTACTAAAAGCTACTTTGTGTGTAGGAAATTAAATAAGTTTTTCTTGTTATATTCGCGTTTTTCTCTGATAACGCTTGGCTTGTTTTTCCAGTTCAGATAAGATAGTTGGCTTCATTTTACTTGAATTTTTAATTAAAGAAATATATTTATTTAATATATTTATTGACGAAACATAAGAAACAAAATTCCTTACCATTACAATTTTTTCCATCTGCGTCCAGCTCGTAACCAGCATAGCAGCTACAAATTGCTCCACCAGGTCCATGGCGACATTTTTGATCACAACCACCGTTTTTATCTGCGCAAGAGTTTACTACTTCCATTTCAATGCCTGTAAATAACAGGGGTTTTTGTTTTTAAATTCTGAACTATTTTATTTACTAAGTGTAATATATTTTCTTGTAAGAAAACATATTTTAAGTCGAATTAAACTTTTTGCGATTGATAATCTTTCAAATAATCCAATTATTTTACATAATAAATATCTTTAAATTATAATAAATAATTAGTCAAATGTACACATGCAATAAAAATGTATCTTGGTAATATATATGTGAAAATTAAGATGATTTACTTACGGAAACATGAACGACCATCGTTTCCAAGTTGGAAGTGAAGATGGCACATACACGAGTAAGAGCCTGGAGTGTTATGACAGACATGAGCACATGGATTGTTTGAAGAACACTCATCAATATCTGTTGTAAAAAAAGAATGAATATATATAAAACATCGTTGCCGAGTGGAAGGATTAAAACAGGTCTTAGGCAGGGAAGGAGGGTACAAAATTTATTTATTTATTATTAGACAGAGAGCGTTTATCAAAGTGGTCACGAAATGTTGTGCTCCTCATTATAAGTTAGGGAAAATCTTGCAAAGTAAATACGTAAAATGTTCTATTGTAGGGAATAAGGGAAATCTTAGTAATTGTAATTGGTTTATTAAATAGGTCGCGATTCCCACAAAGAGTAAAGGGGAAAATATCTTACTTTTAATTAATGATTACTTGAGTCAAAAATAGATTAAAAGACAGGATGAGAATTTAAAAGCGTAAGAAAGCATTTCGTTTTGAATAATAAATTAAGAAAAGGATTTACGGAAGAGAAATAACATAAAAAGATTAATTGAAGCTTTTTAATATAT